GCCATTGGAGTACGAACATCTTCAACATTCGTAATCAACCTCAAACCATTGCTCTCCTATACGATATTAACAAAAGAACTTCCATGTGTAGGTAATGGATTATTCTTAACATTGACACCTCTGGGTGTAAAAGTAAGATCTTTAGATTCCACCAAGTCTTGCACCCTATTCTGGAACACATAATAGTTATCTATGGAATGTCCAGGACCCCCTTGTGAAATTCACAATGAGCATTAGCATCATACCCGGGAGGGTATGGAAAAGTTGTCAGGCACAAGTCTCGCAATGTTTCATACCCACTTTGGTTTAGCTGAGAAAAGATCTGCCCATATGACATTGGTACCAGATCAATGTGCCTTCTTGTAAGTCTTGGCCTCTACTGCCTCTGGGCTGGAGCATTTTGGTATTATGGAGGAGGAACTTTCTGATAATTGGGTTGCTGTTGAACCTGTTGTTGAGCGGGCTGTTGATAGGGAGCTTGAGCGACCACAAATACTTGTTGGTATTGAATTTCCACCAGGGCTCTGTCTCTTCACCCCCTTATTATGGAATTAGTTTCTTCTTCCCTCTTCTTCACAAAGGGATTTCTACCTCCGTTTGTTGCAACAACTGCAACTTTGTTCTTTTTCAACTAGCTTTCAATCCTTTCTCCCACCGATACCACTTTAGCAAAAGTTAGGGAAACTGGATCCAAGCATGCGGGCCAAGTATTGAGGTTGTAGTGTTCCCATAAACATATCTGTTAATTCTTTGGTCAGCAATGGTGGTTGGACATGAGCTGCTAACTCTCTCCATCTTTGTGTGTATTCTTTAAACGACTCATTATTACGTTGAGTCATATCCTGGAGTTGGGTGTGATTCGGCGCTGAATCAGTATTGTACTGATAATGCTTGGAAAACGCATCCGCAAGATCCCTCCACGTGCTAATTTGTCCCTTCTCTAGTTGCATGTACCATTCCAAAGACGCCCCCACTGAGGCTATCTTGGAAATAATGTAGTAAGAGCAAGTCATTGTCTATATGAGCAACCATCTTGCGACAATGTGCTCTCAGATGAGTCCTGGGACAGCTGACCCCCTTATACTTGTCAAAGTCTAGGACTTTGAACTTCTTCGGTATCACCGGTTTGGGAACTAGAAACATATCAATAACATCCAAGCCTGGAGTTTTTTTGGACCTCTAAGGACTTGAACTTCTCTTCTAAAGTGCGTAGTCTATCCATGGAAGGGTCAGCTACAATCCCCATATTATGTTGAGGAGGAGGAAAAGGTTGGAAAAAAGCGTCGTAATGCTCGTCCATCCCCATTTCAGAGCCATGATGGGCAGATGCAGAATGTTATGCTAGGTCCACGTGGATAGGAGGAGGAGGAGCTGTTTTAATGACACCAGAAGTTCCTACTTTGTCAACAATCTTCTTGGCATCAATTATGGTTCCAACGTTGTTTTCCTTATGGGCCAATGTCATCATGGTTTCTAGCAGTTGATCCATCTTTGAGTGTGTCAATATCACCCCTCATGGTGTTCTGGGTCTCTTCGATCTGTTCCAGCGTCATTTGGAAGTTGTGACGAGTCTCGTAGCGGTGTCGAATAGTCAGCTTAAATATGGAGATAACAAAGGGTAAAAGTTTATGAGTTGTATACCGGATGAAGATGCACAATGCTCATGTTTATGCTTTATGCTTATGTTTACGTTTTTATTTTTAGGGAAGCATTTATAATATTGCTTATTTATCAATCATTCAAGCAACACGAGAACAAAGAAATTAAAAGAAGCCTGGACTTTCATTCATTCAGATTGATATGTTACATCGTGCCAAAATAACAAGAGTACAAGCCAATAGAAAACCAAATACTGAGTTCTTAACAACAAAATGACAAAAGAAAATAAAACAAGGAAATCTTCAGGCTTCGTTCCTTCGTGCTTCACGCTCCTTGAGCTCTTCTTCAAACCTTTTCAACACTGCCTTGCAGAGGCACAAGAACCCACAAATGGCTGGAGCAGTGGAGTCATCCATAGCTTCTATGGCATCTATATGTCTCCACACCAAATCTTTGGCTAACCAATTGCAAAACTCTGCCAACCCATTCAACTTATTGCGGTATATGTCTCGGTTATTTCTCATGATGTGGATGGACTGCTCATATGTTGCAACATCCTAGGACACCTTGTTTCTCGTAGCAGACCATATAACTTTGTCTTCTAGAATAACTCCTATTTGGTTCTCTTGATATTTAATGAACCTTTTGAGATCATCTATTTCCTTGCACACTTTATGCCAATCAGCCTGTCTGATCCAAGATAACCCTAGGGCCTTCTATTTGAGTTGACACTCTCTATCTTCACCAGCTCTGGAAAGGCGTAGCGTAACAATAAGTTCCTTAATCTCAGCTCCCAATGTCTCTCTAAGCTCTTTGTTTCGCTTAGTAGCAAGAATGTACCAATGTTCGTTCTCTTGCCACTTTCCACGAGCATAGTCCAACTGTTCTTTAAGGGAACATAAACGATTGTCAGCTTGGTTGATGCACACATTGGTCATTTTCCTCTTACCCTCCTCCTTGTCAATTTTGCTTTCTATTTCTTTAAGTTGATTATTCTTTCTCACAATCTCATACTTCATGTTGTTTTTCTCCATAATAGCGATGTCGTTTTGATAATTTATTTATTTTAAATAAAATAAAAATATAAGATATCGTTTGTAACAATACTTATTTTAAATAAAATTAAAATTTATTTGGAACAATTTTTCTTCGTTTGTAATTAGATATCGTTTAAAATTTATTTGAATTTGTATTTTGTACTACTTTTTCGTACGTGATGACTACGTCAAGAATTTGAATTTAAAAAATGAACTTGTGAAATTATGATATTTTAAAATTTTGTAAGTATTGTGATATTTTTTTAAAGACCGAGTCATCTGGTTCGATCGATTTATTAAATATATAGTTTTTTTTATAGAGACCGGTTTATTCATTCGAGTTATTCGGTTTAATCCAATTTAGACATGCGGTTCGACCAATAACCCAGTGATTCGACCAATTAACTAACGATCCAGTACCTTCACCAGTTTGATGACGATCTTATTTTTAAAACATTGCTCAAGAGTATAAGATTAAAATATATCTTTTTAAACAATATCTTATATAGTTTTATATTGTGCTGAGCCGACCACTATTGATTTATCTATTTAAGATAATTGGCTAGTTTTCATTTTTTTAAAAATTTAATTTTTATAGTCTTACACATTTTTATTTAAAAAAATTACAAAGAATTTAATAAAGAAACTACAAATGAAAAATTAGTTTAAATAGTTATTGTGGAAAATATTATTTTAGTTATATCATTATTTTATAATATTTTTGAATATCATTTTTTTTTTGTAAAATCATTTTTCAAAATAAAATAAAAAATTAATTTTTAAGAAAAATATATATTGTTTGAAGAAATATCATATAATAATATAGGAGATATTAGATTAAGGTTTTCTTTGAATGAATTTTGGTTTTTAGTTTTTAAAAACTATTTTGAAAATCAATTTTATAAAATAGCTTGAAGAAAAAAAACATATTTGGTAATTTTGATTTTAAAAACTATTTTAAAGTTTTAAAATATTAAAAGTTTGTCATTAATAAAAAATGTATGACTTTTTCTTATATTTTTATCCTCTTTCTATTTTTAAAACTAAAAATCAAAAATCAAAACCTCTTAAACCTATTTTAGTTTTTTAATTTTGAAAAGTAATTTTATAAAATTGGATTACTAATAAATTTTTGTTTTCAAATTTCAAATACTAAAAAACAATTTACAAAACCAAATTAAACAAACCATACGTCTTTCTCCTTTTTTTTTTAGTTTTGTGAATCCCTAAAAGTCTCGAATGATGTTTTTTATAAGCAAATTCATTAACAAGGAATACTCCAATCCAAACTACAAGAATATCAGTATTACCATAATATTAGGAAGCCTTCACTTTATAAATATGCTTCAAACTTTACATAAAATAATTTATAAAGATGGTTGAAATAATTTATACAAAAATTATTTATACAAAAATATATACAAAAATTATTGTATTTATTCATTCAATATTAAGATGGTAAATATATAAAGATGGTTGAAATAATTATACAAAAATTATTATATTTATTCATTCAATATTAATTATATATATATAAAATAATATAGTTAGTGGGTGTCGGTTGCAACTTGGGTTTTAAAATTAAGTACATTCATATAAATAGTTGATACTTGTATAAATGAAAGAAAAAAAAACATATAAAATATTTGACTATAGGTTATTTTTTTCATAAAAAATCGTCAGCATTAAGATTTTGTAATATAATAATACTGATAAATTAAACTAATCTAAAATGCATTAAGTAGGGTACAAGATCACATGTTGAATTGACTTAGCAAACGGACAGATCAACGGTAAACAAGATGGGATACAAATAGGTTCATTTAATTAATATTTAACAATAAAAATTTATCGAAACATTTGTAATTAAAATATTTAATTAAACAAATTCAGTGTCATTACGTAGATAGAAACCAAGTTCTAAAAACAATTAATTATAAAAAGAAAATTTTAATAAAGTATAATTATTTCTATCTATTATGGATATGTCTTAGTAAACATTCTTTTAAAGAATTTTCTATATAAATATCTGAAAATTTAAATTTTTTTTTATAAAATTCAAACTCAATTTTATCTTGTTTATTTTGAGTACACCTAGATTTAAAAAAAAGAAACTATCAGAAAATGGATAACGATGAAATAATGAATGTGCAACCACGTTAATTAATATATGTATTTATATAAAGATTGTGTTAATGTATTTTGTACTTTTCTTATAATCAATAGCTGTAATATATCTTGAATCAGCGTGTATATATATTATCATGATCTATGATAATATTATATGTCACACACTCTTTCTCTATTTTTTTGTTCTTGATAATTTGTGTTAAGAAATTACCATAGATAGAAGAAAAGGAAAGAATGAAGCAAGAGAATGAAGAAGGAAGGGATCTGAAGAAGCCATTTTTACACACAGGAAGTTGGTATAGAATTAGTGGAAGAAGAGAATCATCAAGTTTATTTGGGTCAACTCAAGCAATTCGTGATTCTTCCATCTCTGTCATTGCTTGTGTTCTCATTGTTGCTTTGGGTCCAATTCAGTTTGGTTTTACAGTATGGATTATTTTCATCATTTTATTAATGCACACGTTGAAATAAAAGCTTCTGTCATTATTATTAATGTATGAATAATGACAATTTATTGCAGGCAGGGTATACATCACCTACTCAATCCGCTATCATCACAGATCTTGGTCTCTCAGTTTCTGAGGTATCAATATTATGATCATAAGAATTGGATATTTTACACTAAGTTTTACATTATATAAAATGTGTTTTCATAGTCAAAAAGCATTCAAAAATGTGTCTTCACTGATAAGGTCTTGATTAGTTTATGTTTCATAAATGTTCATTTAAAATATATGTTATAAGAGTATTTGATTCTATTTGTTAAATTTTATTTTATTGGCTATATATAGTTTTCTCTGTTTGGTTCATTGTCCAATGTGGGTGCCATGGTTGGAGCAATAGCTAGTGGTCAAATTGCTGAGTATGTTGGGCGCAAAGGGGTAAACCATTGTATATAAATGTGTGTTTTTCCTTTACTTCATTTTTTTATGACTAATGCTTGTAATTACCAAATTCATTGTCTAAATTTGCAGTCTTTGATGATTGCATCCATTCCCAATATTATTGGTTGGTTGTTCATCTCTTTTGCAAAAGTGAGTTTGGATCATTTCAATTTTTTCTCAATCAGTTCAACCACATGAAATTTCAAAAAAACAATGCTAAGTGAAAAGAGTTTGACTTTGAAACCATGTTCAAATCTTTTCGAAGACGAGTGTATAATGACTATTAGTGTTACTTTAATTAATAATATAACATGTTTTCGATCTTTCAGGATTCTTCTTTTCTCTATATGGGAAGATTGTTGGAAGGATTTGGCGTTGGAATAATATCTTACACGGTAGAAATTTCAAAATGTGTTCATTTTTTTAATCTAGTTTGTGATTAAGTTATTTGTGAAGACAAGACAATAATAATGATTGAGTTTTGAAAATTATATAGGTGCCAGTATATATAGCTGAGATATCACCTCAAAATTTAAGGGGAAGTCTGGTTTCAGTAAACCAGGTTGGTTGTTATTGATAATGATATCATCAAGAATATCTAGATTTTAATGAATAATTATCATTTCCTAAATTAGTGAATTTTATTATTTGTTTTGGTTTTCTGCATAGCTTTCTGTCACCATTGGAATTATGCTGGCTTATCTTCTAGGACTTTTTGTTGAATGGAGATTCCTTGCAATTTTAGGTAATAGACTATACTATAAGATTTTTATTTATGTTATTTCAGCATTACTACATAAAGTTGAGTTAAATGTTATGTGAAAAAATCTACACCAAGAAACTTTAAACCCTACTCTCGCAGGAATTATACCTTGTATGTTATTAATACCTGGTCTATTCTTCATTCCTGAGTCTCCAAGATGGCTAGTAAGCTTTTGTGAATTAATATTAGTATTTTCAATTTTCATTGAATATGTGATATCATGATAGAAGTTGATTTGAATCGGTGAAAACAGGCGAAAATGGGCATGACAGAAGAATTTGAACGTTCCTTGCAAGTGCTCAGAGGTTTCGAAACTGATATTTCAGTCGAAGTCAATGAAATTAAGGTGATAATAATTATTTTTTTTCCGTTTTTCACTTTTTTTTGTATTGCATGTCCTTTATATAGTCACATTTCACGATGTTCAAATTTTTATTGCCATTTAATGTGTATCATCAATGAGAGTCATTTCATTCAGGCTTCTGTTGCATCGGCAAATAGAAGAAGCACCGTTCGATTTTCAGAACTCAAGCAAAGAAGATATTGGCTTCCTTTGATGGTGACTTATCTTTCTTGAAGCAATAGTCTCAATCAGATCCTAATCAGCTTAAATTAACTCCGACTCGTATATTCTGTAGATTGGAATTGGACTTCTTGTTTTGCAACAGCTTTCTGGGATCAATGCTGTTCTTTTCTATTCCAGTACAATCTTTCAAAATGCTGGTATGGAGAAACTAAATGAGAATAAATTTAGACTCATAAGCAAATTGAAACTTGTACTATAAGCTATTGTTTAAGAAACTCATAGTCATTAAGATTCTTGTGATGTTTATGGAGAAACTAAATGAGAAAAATTTAGATTCATAAGCAAATTGAAACTTGTACTATAAGCTATTGTCTAAGAAACTCATAGTCATTAAGATTCTTGTAATGTTTCTTTTTCTACAAGCTCTTCTTAAAGGAGCTTATATACTATACAGAAAATTATGTTTTATTCTCATCATTTTAATGCATATTTAACAGGAATTAGTTCGAGTGATGTAGCTACATTTGGAGTCGGTGCTGTTCAGGTTCGACTGAAAGGAAACTAAACTTGTAACATTCCAAATTTTTTCTGTCGATTATTATCAGACCATAATCTGAATAATATTTATATGTCATTTAGGTTCTTGCTACCATTTTAACTTTGTGGTTAGCAGACAAATCTGGTCGCCGGCTTCTACTTATTGTGAGTCTGAACTTTTTCTATCATTTTTGCATTCATATTACTAATTGTTTGGAGGGTTAATAAGAGATTAATCAAAATGTCCTATTGCAGGTTTCTTCATCTGCAATGGCTTTGAGTCTTTTGGTTGTTTCAATATCATTCTATTTGAAGGTAATAATAATTTTTTTTATTGTTATTATACATACATCATATATTAACTGTACATTACACATGCATTCACGCATAAATGTTCCGAAATTTGTATCACAGATTGACAGGATTCTATATCAGTAGATTCTTCTTTATATTTTTGGTTTTTTATAGGGATAATATATTTTCTGCTGAATTTGCTCTCAGGAATATATATCACCGGATTCTGATTTATATGCAACATTGAGCCTAGTATCAGTGGCTGGAGTTGTGGTATGTAAATACAAAGTTATTACCCAAATGATGTTTTTGATTGTTTGTTTCCCGAACTTTATTGATATAAACTTTCAATTTTTTCAGGTCATGGTTATTGCATTCTCTCTGGGATTAGGAGCAATGCCATGGATTATAATGTCTGAGGTACAATTTTCTTCAATAATGATATGCATGACAACCCTATATTAAGAACCTTTGTTGTAATATCATGTGATAGTTGATGTGTTGCATACATTTTTCGTAACAGATTCTTCCAATTAACATCAAAGGCCTAGCTGGAAGTTTTGCAACACTTGCCAATTGGTTCTTTTCCTGGTTGGTTACATTAACAGCAAATTTGCTCTTAGATTGGAGTTCTGGAGGTTTGTGTGCATTGCCTATGTTATTTTTCTCAAAATATCTATTTTGTTTCTAACCAGAAGCTTCCTATGTTTTTATCAGGAACCTTCACAATCTATACTGCAGTGTGTGTTTTCACAGCAGGATTTGTTGCCATTTGGGTCCCCGAGACAAAGGGGAAAACTCTTGAAGAAATACAACAGTTTTTCAGATGAAGTTTCCTTTCGAGTGGCACTTGAGCTAGTGTTTACTCATGTATTCACATTCATATTTTTTTCTTCATTAACTCAATTCATTTTTGTGCTATCTGCGGTTGTTGAATATGAAAAATACCAAAACAGTGTGATTTTTTAATCTAGCAGCATACTTGCATTTTTGTTGTAATTGATTGATTATAAACAGATAAATGAAAGAGAGTGGTTATTATACATTTCAATTATAGTAGTGGTTTTTATTTCATGACATTTCAAGTAGCAAGAGGATCATATAAACAATACGCCATATATCATTATTTGTATTTTAATATTTAAAAGGATAAAAAGAACCTTTAGTTGCTCTTGTGAATTATAACAAGCAGCTGTATGCCATTTTCCTCTAGTTGCCTCTTGTGGCTGCAAAATAGCATGAAATGAGAATATGATCACAGCGACATGTTATGCATGTAAATGTTAATTACAATTCATCGAAAATTATTTATTTATTATTCATATTAGATACACAACACGCTTAAAGTGGTATACACTTTTTATTGAAAGATTCAAACACTCGCTCTTGAAATCTAATATTTGACACTAAGTACAGAAAAGCCACAGTCACCAAACACGAGTTGAGTTACTGGATACACAATATCTAGAAAACTATAACATGACACTACCAACTACCAAGCTATGGCAGTATTTCTACAGGATACTTGTCAATACAATCTTCCCATGGTCCATTAGGAGAAGGCTTCACATCACGAATCGCCTCCCAAACAGCACTATTACACTTAAAACCACTTCCAAATGCAATTTGCCAAACTTTGTTACCCTTCTTTACCCTCCCTTTAGCTTCGATATATGACAATTCATACCAAATAGAGCTCGAGGAAGTGTTCCCGAACCGATGAAGCGTCATCCTAGAAGGCTCCACATGTACAGGAAGCAAGTCAAGATTCTTCTCCAACTCATCAATCACAGCCCTTCCACCAGCATGGATACAGAAATGATCGATTGCGAGTTTGAAATCTGGTATATAAGGCTTCACATCACTTTTAGAAAACTTGCTAAAAACCAAATTAGCAAAAAACCTAAGTTGCTGAGTAACCGGAAGCACCAAAGGACCAAGTGTAGTTATATTGGTTTTCAATGACAAGCCAGCAATTTCCATCAAGTCTTTCGACAACGAAACACCGGTTTTTCCCAAATCATCTTCTTCCTGATAAACACATCGAAAGGCCTTATCGTCTGCACCGCAATGGGTCCTCACAACATGAACAAGCTTATACTTAGCCCTGGCTCTATCACCAGATTTATTCGATAGCAACAAAGCTGAACCACCAACTCTAAACAAACAGTTAGGTATAAGCATTGATTTTTTATTCCCAAAGTACCAATTCTGAGTAATATTTTCAGTGCTAACAACAACAGCATAAGTATTATTGTTTTGAACCCTCAACAAATCTCTTGCAAGATCAATAGCTATAACACCAGCACTACAACCCATTCCACCTAAATTGAAACTCATAATGTTACTTCTGAGTTTATATTTATTAACAATCATTGAAGAAAGTGAAGGTGTAGGGTTAAACAAACTACAATTCACAACAAGAATTCCAATTTCTTTTGGATTTAGGTTTGTATTGATGAAAAGATTATCCAACGCACCAAACATAACGGATTCTGCTTCGCATCTCGCCGCAGAGATTGAAGGACGGGGAGGAATGCAATGCATGGCTTCGGGAACGTAGGTTTCATCACCAAGACCGGAACGAAGAAGAATCTTGCGCTGGAAATCCAAAGAAGATTCGTCGAAGTCGCCAGTGAGACGAGAGTGTTGGATGAAGCTGTGGAATGGAGCTTTGAGGTGATCGGCAGGACGGAAGCAAGAGAAGTCGACGAGGTAGACGGCGCGTGGGCGCGTGTGAAGATAGAGAGTGAAAGAGAAGATTATGAAAGCGGTGAAAGTGATGAAATTGTAGTTGCCTTGTACAAGTAAGAGGTGGTATAGGTATTGCGTTGGTGAGAATTGTATTAAAGTGATGATGATTAAGGGGATGAAAGAAAGAGTTAAGTAATTTGAGATTAAGTAGTGGTAACCTAACTTGACGTACTTGAGTTTCACGCTCTGATGAAAATCTGGAAGAATTCTTGCCCTAACGGTGGTGGTACCGTCGCCTTCCGCCACAGTTGTTGCTCTGCTGACTGACATATTAGGAAGAACGGTTGAAGTATACTGATCACTTTCTTTATTTGCCAAGAGTTAGGTTTGATGCAATATTTGCAAACAGAATAGGTGCATTTATATAAATTCTGCCGCCAAAAAATGATAATAATAATATAATAATAATAATAATAATAATTACTACTATTTTTTGAAATCAAATACATTTTTTTGCAAATTGTTTATATGATTTAACAAAGGTATTATATGATTTTGGAAAAATTGAATGAAGGTATTAACAAAGGTTATATATGATTTAAGCCAACAAAATAAGGTCACTTTGTAAATTTTGCATACACTTCCAACTTTAATATCACTTCATAATAATGTTGATATCATTATTATCAAATATCAAATACTATCAATGACATGGATTAATATTACTATAATATAATAATATTGGTAATATTACAAATTAAGATATGAATTAAATTTAGAAATTGTTATTTAAATATTTTATTTTATTAAATAATTGAAACTGGGATAAAGAGTTTTTATATATATTTTTTATTTAATTAAGTCATTAAAACATGGGATTAATTATTAATTTTAAGTGTAGAAATTGTTATTTAATTTATTATTGAGGAAAATATGAATTATAATGTGGAATTAAAGGTTTTTATTTATTTATTTAAGATATTTGTTATGACTTCATGAGAATTTTTTGATTAGGTAGGTTATGAAATAATTGTTTGGTGAATAACCCCAAATTTGAAAAATGTTAAATGAAAATATTATTTAAGAAACTATACTATTTTCAATTTCTTTAAAGTTTGAAAGTTAAGTTTCACAGTATAATCCAAATTGAATTTCTCATGAACATCACTTCAGCATGTCATACTTCTTCTAATGAACCAATTAGTCACAATATAGCTATTAATAGTAAAATAGGAATAATATACATTATACATAATTTAAACAAAAAATTTGACATAAAATAACTGATTCCGCGAAATGAATAGTGGTCAGATGTAACAAATGGTCTATATCTCAATTTTTTCTCTTTTGTCACTTTAATTTTATATTTTTTTTATCTCTATCTTTTTTTAGATGTTTTATCTTCTTAATTTTTCCCTTTTTATGGATTTATTTTTGTTTTGACACGAATCAAAAGAACGAAAGTAGGTAAATTTTTTTTATAAGCAAATTTTATACTCTAATATAAAAAAAACAAAACAAACACAACATTCACGATAATAACTTAATCAACCCCACACCATCAAACAATGACCTTTAAAAAGGATTTCATTCTTATCTTTCTAAATAATCCAACATATAACTAAACTAAAAAACCAATCTTATTTTTGTCTAGGAAGATTTTGTTTTGCTGTCTATTCCGTGAGAAGTTTATTCAAAATCAATCTCCAACAAAAAAAATAAGAATTCTATTAAGATTCCGTGGGAATTTTGTTTAGCTGTCTGTTCCGTGAGAAGTCTATTCTAAATCAAAGATTCTGAATAAAGATTGAGAATTTTGTTTAGCTGTCTGTTCCGTGAGAAGTCTATTCCAAATCAAAGATTCTGAATAAAAATTATTTTTAGGGTAGGAAGATAGGGGAGAAAATCTAGTTTGGTTGGTTTTAATGTATTCAGAGAATTAATTTTTGATGAGTTTTTGGATAAGGTTGGATGGATTTTGCAGGTTTTGTTGGTTGAGGAGATGAAGATGATATGGAAGTATGAAATTTGTTGTTGATCAGGGAGGTGATTGAAAAGGGACTAGATAAGGAGGACTCTAGATAAGAATATATAGACGGTGAAATAGGGGCAGTTACCATTGTAATTCAATTTTCCAAGATATCAAGTGAGATATAAGAAGAAGATGCAATAAAGAGAAATTATTTATTTATTTATCATGGAATGAAAATAAATATATTTTAAAATAAAATATCATTATTATTTTTTATTTATAACTGATCGTACCTGATCAGAAAAGAGTCAGTAGTCTGTCATGTGAGTTGCTGCCTTCACCGATATTGTAGAGGAGAAATGAGGTGTACCTACAAGATATTCTGATAATTAAGGAGGTGTACCTACAAGAAAATGTGTAATGTATAAAATACCTGAACGTATTTATAATATGTTTTGGAAGTGGATAGTTTCTTGATGATGTGTTCCCGCGTGGGGGACTCGTGAAGTCCGTGAGAAAAGCGCGTGAGCTCTCCTCGTGTCAGAAAATGCTCTACCTGACTAGTGTGCCTTATTGGAACTTGTACTCGACACCCAATTTAGAACAATAACTTTAAAAGAATATTTATCAATAACTTTAAAAAATATTTATAATGATAAGTATATATTTTTTTTCAAATTTAAAAGAAAGAAAGAATTTGATTGTCATTCTATTTAGATTGTGGTGGCACATCACCTTCCTCCATAGTTGTTGCTCTGCTGACTGACATATTACTATATTAGAAAGAGGGGTTGAAGTATTCTGATCACTTTTTTTAGTTAGTTAGGTTTGATGCAATATTTGCCAACAGAATACATGTTTTTATATAAATTCTGCCGCCAAATAATAATAATAATAATAATAATAATAATAATAATAATAATAATAATTATTATTATTATTATTATTATTTGGATTTAAATAAAAATTTATTTTAAAAATATAATAAGATATATTTGATGATGAATATATATTATATTTTTTAAAGTTAAATTGATTACATTTTAAAATTTTTTTTTTGTGCTGTATAATAATGATATAGGTTTAAAAGACTCGCTTAAATATTGAATGTATCATTTGTTAAACAAACTCACAATTTCAACTCTACTATTACGTTAAATTTATCGTTATATAAGAGAGGTGAAAAGTATTGCATGCAAATAAAATATTTTTTGAAAAAATTGAAGGAAGGTATTTACAAACATTTTACATGATTTAAGCCAACAAAATAAGGTCACTTTGCAAAATTTGCATACATTTCCAACCTTAATATCACTTCATAATAATGTTGATATAATTATTATCATATATCAAATACTATCAATGACATGAATTAATATTACTACAAGATGATAATATTGGTAATATTATAAATTAAGATATGAATTAAATTTAGAAATTGTTATTTAATTTATTATTGATGAAAATATGAATTAAGATAATAATTTACTAATTCAAGTAATGATATTTAAAAACCAAATGGATTAATCAATGGAGAAGTTTCGATTTTTTAATTCATTTTTAATTTAATTATGTAAATGAAAACATGTGGCGTGACGTTATTTTTAAATATTTTATTTTATTAAATAATTGAAACCTGGGATAAAGAGTTTTTATATTTTTTTATTTAACTTCGGATTAATTATTATTTTTAAGTTTAAGAATTGTTATTTAATTCATATTGATAAAAATGTGAATTATAATGTGGTATTAAAGTTTATTTATTTATAATTTAAGACATTTGTTATGACTTCTAGAGAATTTTTTGATTAGGTAGGTTATGAAAGAATTGTTTGGTCAATAACCCCAAGTTTTTAGATTTTTATGTTATTTTTATGAAATTTTCTATTAGAGAGAAACATGTTGATTTTATAAACTTAAGGTAACTGTTTCGTTATTATATGAATAAGGTTAAATGTAATTATAATAAATGGTGCAAAAGACTTTTTAATTTTTTATAGAAGTGAATATTAGTATTGTTGCTGCTGTACTTTTATTGCATGAGATTCTTTGTGATGCTATTGTATAGTTTTTTTTTTGGATTTCCTTGATCCAAGTTGAATATAATTTTGATATTAAAAAAAAACTATTTTTTTAAGTAATGATTGATTATAATTAACTCACTCTTATATCTCTACATCTTTACTATTTAATTTTTTTATACTTTTAAATGTTTAAAATAGTAACGGTAACTTGATTTATAATTTAATCAATTGCGACAATATTTAATTTGATGTATATATTGATAAAAAAATTATTGCTATTTATAAATAAAAAGTTTAAACAATTTACTTACCTTTTTTCAAAAAATTTAAAAGTTAAGGTATCTTATTAAAACCATTGTGTCAACCATCATTTAGATAAATTGTATTATCTCCTTGTTATAGTTTCATTATTCTATCTCAACAAATTCCAAATTATATTGATATTTACTTAAGATTCTAAAGAAATATTAAAATAAAATAATATAATAATATCAATACAATTAATATAATTTTTTTAACAGATATAAGATATTAGTTTAATATAGAAAAATATCAAATGAAAATATCATTTAAGGAACTGTACTATTTTCAATTTCTTAAATGTTTGAAAGTTAAATTTCACAGTATAATCTGAATTGAATTTCTCATGAACATCACTTCGTCATACTTCTTCTAGTGAACCAATTAGTTACAATACAACTACTAGGAACAACATACATTATACATAATTTAAATAAAAATTCAGATATAACTAATTCGGCGGAGTGAACAACAGTGGTGACTGACATCTATTATATAAAAAAATAATTGAAAAATTGAATTTGCCCTCATTCTACGCTCAATGATTTATATCTCAATTTTTTCTCTTTTGTCACTTCAATTTTACAAATTTTTTATCTCTATTTCTTTTAGATGTTTTATTTTTTTAATTTTTCTCTTTTTACAGATTTGTTGTTGTTTTGACATGTATTTTATAGTTCCAAAAGAATAAAAAGAACAAATCTGAGGTAACTTTTTTTTTATAAGCAAACATTACACTCTAGTTTAAAGAACAACTAAACCAAAAAATCAATCTAAATTAAAGATGAAAACAGACTTACAAAGAGGTATCCAAAGAAAATGCTCCAAAATAGAACAAGTGAAGAAGAGTCTTCCATCCGAAATCAATAACAAGTCTTGCTCCACCATAACTTAGAAATTGAGTAACTACAAAATAAATGATGGAATCCTCTTCAACCCAAAACACAAAACACAAATCAAAAAGTGGATGTGGAAAATAAGAATTCTACTGAGCATTTTAGAATTCTTGAATTCCACAGCCGAGTATAGAACTT